AATTGCATGATAAAAGTGATTTTTACCTCCTTAATAATAAACTTTGGTAAACAATTTTTTTGGCATCACATATGTCAATCAGTTTTCATAATTGCAATTTCTTTTTTCACTTTGGTACACACTTGTGTTTTAAAAAAACATGTTAAGGAGTTAGATTGATTTAGAGTTTAAAGGCCTTGGTCGTTATTGACAAAGTTAAAATAATGTGCATCTATCTCAAACGTCTTTAAAGCGACAGCTCACAAAGTAGAACTATGATCATGTCATTTTACAACTGCAACACAGTTGAGTATGAGAATTATGGCTTTACCCTTAGCTGTTGCAATCAGAGGATCTCACGATACATAAGAGATATTTAACTTATGCTGCAGAATTGTCTTTATCTATCTTTGCCTCTCCTTCACCTCTACACTAATAAAAAGATAGGAAAAGTAATAGGTTAAGCCTAAGTATTATGAACAAAAATGTTTATTATTGGGTTAACATAAGACTGCTTAGGCTATTCAAACATACAAAGAGATCTTTTATCTTTACCCAAATTGAGCTATAAATGACTAAATGTACTTTTTTGGTTTGCAAATTTTATTGGAAAAATCACAAAATATTTTTACAATTTAAACACATGTATGATCCTATAAAAATATCACATGATCTTCGCATGGAAAAAAGTTCTGATCATGTGTGGTGCACATGTGGTAAACTTGTGATCACATGTGGAACAGGTGACCCACATGTGGGAAATGGGAACCGCATGTGAAAACTTATTACCACATGTGAATTTCATGGAGTTTTACTGTAGTTTCCTTAAAGGTTTTCAAAGTCTTCTCAACTGCAGTTTTCTGTCAGTGCAGCCTTATCTAACAGTAGATTATAAAACATAACTGGCTTGCTATTTAACTTGTAAATAATGTCACATAGAGAACTATGGCTTTATATTGTCATGTTTCTGTTTCTAGAGACTATAAGAAATATAAAAAAAACACTGAAAAATATCAGAAATATATGTAAAACAGATATTGCTTTATCAAACATTTTTTTTCCTACCCCTGCTTACAGTCTTTAACAGGAGATTTAATTAATATTAACTGCTCGGGTGAATATGTTTATTAAACATATTTAGAAATAGCACCCTTTCTTCCAGTTAGACTATAATTAGGTATTTATAACTCTGTAAAAACTTCCTGCAAAAAAGCATAACATATATTTATCAAATAGTTTCCACACAAATCAAATGTCTATTTCACTCTTAATATATAAAAAACAAAAACACATATTTATTTTGACATAAAAGTTAAGATGTTTCCTAGTTTCCTACTTAGTTTCCTTAATGACCGAAAGTGAAAGTTTGAGCAAAGGTAAGAAACCTTGCAATTGGTTTTGTTTTATTTATTTGTGTTTCTTTTTTATCTGAAGACACCTGGAACAGAAGCAAGATCTTATCAAGACAATTACCCATAATGCTTAGCGAATACTTCAGATCCCCAAATATCCCATCCTAGTGTTTTCCTCTGAGCAAGTTAGACATTATAACAGGCTTTTCATAATATGTTTTTGTATAGATGAATACATCTCAAAAAGTTGTGCCCTGTTCACGAGGATCCATTTAAATAATCAAATAAATATATATTTTTTTGATAAACCCTACTTTCATATAGACAAGTTCTGAAAGCCTTAAAGATCCTTTATGCATCACCATCAACAGATTCTAACTTTGATTCAAAAAAGATTTTTAAGAGAGCTCAGAAAACTCCCTCTAACCCATGTCTCCTCATTGTTCTTTATCTGGACCTGGATTTCATACTCATGCTTTTTGAATTTTCCTTGTAAAAATGGATGCCAGTGAAATAATACTTAGTGATAGACTTTATATGTGCTGGAGAGGTTATAGATTTGATTTCTTTACACACATAACATAAAACATTAGTTTTTTTTTATCCTCAGTGCTTCTCAGCAAGCTTAGTTTTAAAAAGCTAAACCAGAATTCTGATGAAATATTTGGTAAACAGGGTGAGAAGTTCACCAGTTTACGAGGGGAGGATGCAAATGTTGATCAGTGAGATCTGGTTAGTCATCCCCACTAAGGCAAAAATGTCCGAAGTTTTGAACTAAAAAAAAAAAGAAGTTAAAAAGGTCAATGACTTGTCAAAAGAACTTAAAAGCGCACTGTTGCTGTTACAAGACAATCCAACTTCTTTGTGGCGTAAGAGGGTAGTTGGATTGACCCAGACTCAGAATATGAGGCATATGATGTGTTTATCCTGAGCACAAAAGCTTATTGTTACCCTGATTATTCATTTACAGCCCAAGGCTAAACGGGTCTCAAGCATGTCTCAGTCAGCCCACCAGCTAGAGTTAAAAGTTCAAAGCTAAAGTTGGCATTTAAACAATTTCCTACCTATTTTGTCCCAGCTTGATTAACTAATTAGAAGCATTATCTTCATTAAATAAAATGTTAAATGTATTAAAATTAAAACACCTTTTTTAGTTTGGTCAGCTGCCTCAACAGTTCCTACTAGCTTCCTTCATTCCAAGTGTAAATGAGGCTATATAAGGCTGTTGGGAGCCAGCCATATCCTTTGTTATGGTTGGCAGAAACAGAGGTGCCCAGTTGTGGTTGGTGTTTGTGTGCTAGAGGAAGCTAAACAGAGAAGTCTGTCAGAGCGACTCTTAGACCATGTGAAGAGCGACTGATGGAACACTTGACCCAGAGGCGTTTTCATGAACTGTAACACTCTTATGAAACGGTTTGAGGCGTAATGTCATGGGTGCAGGACTGCATTGTAAACACATCCACTTAGCTATGTAATTTAAATTAGTTTAATAGACCGATTATTTGTTAAAGATATTTAAAAACATCTCAAATCCATTCTTTAAGCCAAACTCTTGCAGCAAAAAACACACACTGGTATTCACATTCATTTCCATACATAAACATAACTGCATGTTTACTTTAACTTGAAATTAAAATGTTTATTTACAATATGACGTTTCCACATGGCGTAAAATAAGGAATCTTCTTTGTGTTTGGCTTCTAGAGCAACCCTCGAGTTATGTTGAAATAAAAGGCAAACTAAAATCATACAGTCATTTGTCAACATTTCATGCGACTGTGACATTCACATTTCCTTTTACAGTAATCTATAGATATATAAAACAAACACCCATTTTGTGGAAAGGGGTTAGATGTATGAATTACCAGATTTTGGTCCCTTTTTAAATTATTCCAAGTGCATTGTTTTCAGTATTGGTTTGATATGTTTTCAAATTACTGTACACAAGTATCTTTGTGCCATAAACAACCTAACTTAACATGTACACTGGAACAGATAGGAGTGCTCGGTATATTAGTGGCTGCAGGTAGCAGTTAGAGTAATAGTACGGAGAACCGAAAAGGGTGCATTTTGAAGATTTTTTCAGAACAGGCCTTTTTAGATTGCATTTTAGCAATCTTAACCAGCAGTTGTGATCAGATTCCAAATTTAATAAAGCATATTTATGCTCCAATTATTAAACAATATTAAATATGCACATCAAATCTCAAAAAGGATGCCTAAATGCTAAGATATAGGCTTTTAAGTTTATGTATTTATTGAGCCAATTTAATTGCCTTAAAAAATACAAATGGAAATTAAACACTCAGTATTATACAGTAGGCCTCCTCCAGCTTGTCTGACAGGCAGTGTTTTATGCACCCTTTCCCATTTTATGCTATTGCAGTTTTTTACTGCACCTTTACAGGTTACTATAGGTTTCTTGACACTTCTAAATACTGTATTATCAACCGGGAGGTCTGGTTGGGGTTGACCAGATTTCATAATCTCTCATAGTTCTGATATTAGCTGAAGAAAGTCCAATGAATTAAGATGGAATATGATTTTGACAGAAAGTATATACCACATAAAATGTAGTAGGTAATGGTCAGCTACACCGAAAATCAATGGTTTGTTTAAAGGAAATAAAGCAGTGGTATAAAGGGATGGAACAGAAAAGGTGTAAATTGGCACTGTGATTAGGAATGAGTGGAGGCTAGTAAAATACTAAGGATGTGCAAGACAAATCCACTTATAAAACAAAACAAAAACGAACTTCTTGTTAAAATTATGTCAAATTTCAGAAAGTAAACAACAAGTAAAACCCAAAAAAAGCCAAAAGGGCCAATGGGAACTTTTCAGCACCACATACTGCTCCAAGTTACAGTGTGATGTCTTCTCAATATGCCCTTCTGTTTTCATCAGTTCTTTTACATGTCCACAAACACCATAAAGCACCAGCCGAGTCCCCCGACCAGAAACATGGTGATGTGCATGCTGTAAATGATCAGATCATTGAGCACACCAAAGTCCAGGCGCCGGTGCCCAAGCAGAAGCAGGATAACAGAGAGCTTGTACTGCAGCCGGAGGAGGACGCGCACACTGACGTACTGCAGGAAGAAGAGTGCAGAGAGCAGCACCCAAAGCAGGGAGGTCAGCAGGCTGCAGCCAAAGTAGAGGAGGAAGCGCAGGAAGCTGTACATCCAGCGGGAGCGCAGGTAGAGATCAAAGTTGTTGTATTTGGTGCGCACCAGCTTGGTGGTGTGCGCTGAACCGCAGGCAGAGTGCATGCAGGTGGTGTGGGGGCCATGGAAACTGCGCACCCGCCGTGGGATGGGGATCACAGGCATGGAGGGGCTACGGGAGCCCGGGACGCTATACAGGAGTCACAGGAGGGGAGATGCCGACTATGGGAGCTGCTTCCAACCCTCAGTCCGGCAGAAACAGGCCAGCCTTATGAAAACCATCGGGATTTCAAATTTCCTTTCTGATATGTCGAAAAAAAGTCTGCAAAAAGCACAAATCATCACCATGTTATCATTTGTGAAAACAACTTCTTACAATTTTACACAAAATATAGACTTATGCAAATAACGCATGCATATACGTGCAAAAAACAGCCAATAATAACATTGATTTAAATAAAGCAAAGCAGACATAGCAGAAAAGATGCAGGAATACATGCAGGCTCATACATGAAACAGAACGTCTTCTTCCACGGGAAGGCTGCTGTTTTCGCGGTCGTCCTGGTTGCTGAATTACATTTTGAAAAGTTAAGAGAAACGCCTTAAAAAAATAAATGAAATCAATGTAATTTCTGCTGTGGTTTATGTTTCTTTTTGTGGCTATAGCCTTAGCCAGCGCAGGTTTGAGCCGGTCCTGTCGCAAAATAAACGAGTCATCGTGCTGTGACGTCAGCTTCTATTAAAGGGACAGCGCTAGAATAAAAAAATAAAAATATAAAAAAATAAAATCTTTAATTTGTCTAAATGTATGTATTAGAATGTAATATTTGTTAAGAAAACACAAAGCTGACCTTATACAAATTAGAGTTACAGACAGCGACAAAAAGGGGCACCTAACTGGTTACTATGGTGATCACCAACTATCAAGATTAACATAATAATTTATATAATAATTGACACCCATCTAGCAAAAATAACTAAGTAAATAAAACAAAGAATAAAACATTTTTTTTATTATCCTCACAATAATATAGCTATAAATAGAATATCTATTACACGTACAAATATATGTTATCAACTGATTGTGTGCTGGCTGCTACTTATTAAATGCTGCTTTGAGCTTTTCGTGCTGTGCTACAAATGGGTTTAAAAGTCTTGTTTATGTCCAAGTCAGAAACGGGATCATGTGAATGTGTTATGCCAGGAAACAGTGTGATAAACTTAATCTAATAAATGTATATATATATATATATATATATATATATATATATATATATATATGTATATATATATATATATTGATGTTTTGTTTGATGTTTGTTTTAGATCATTGTCCGACAGTGAAAACTCTTGATTAGGGAAGTTTAAAAAAAATAGGAATCATCCCGCTACTGTATTAGTTAATTCAGTCTGTAACAACCCCAAAGCAGGATTCTTTACTCTCTGAATCGTTTTTAAGTTTTAAAGCACTGTCTTAACTCCCTCAAGCATCATTTTGTTTCACAGAGGCCACAGAGCTCAATATTTATCTTGTCTGAATAAAACATGTTTCCCTGGAAGGGGGAAACTTACTGGAACCTGCAAATCTCACTGAGGGTTAAAGGGGTTTATTTTGGAGTGGGCACTTATTTTTGATTCATCCTCTCAGTGTACTGCGATGCAGAACTAGCAGTTTCCAGTTCATGAGAGGTTTATGCTATGGGGATTTCTGGACTATCCCTTAATTTTCTTACTGATTTCCTTACATCTAAAAATGTAGATGGAATGAGGGGCTTGGGGAGTGAAATGATTGATAAGCTGGCTAGCTCAAGTGGTAGGTTACCCATTCTGCAATCAGGAGGCCTGGGTTCATATCCCAGCTGGGGGGGATGAGCTGCCAGTCCTTAGGCACGCTAATGCCTGCTTTGGGTAGTAATGGCATAGTTGTTGGTTAGGGTTAGAACTCGGCTCCCAAGACGACCGTAAACAGCAGCCTTCCCATGGATGAAGACGTGCTGCTTCATGTATGACCCTGCATGCATTCCTGCATTGTGCTTAGTTAGGGCATTGCAACTGGAATCCAGAGGTTCTGATTGGAATCCAGAGGTTCAGAGTGGCACTCCCACAGACTGCCACTCTGGGTCCCTGAGCAAAGACCCTGAAACCCCACACTGCTCCCCGGGCGCTGCACAATGGCAGCCCACTGCTCCCCAAGGGGATGAGTTAAATAATGCAGAGAGTTCATTTCTTTGCTTTGTTATTCTTGCCTTTTTAAAAGTCAATTTAAGATGTGTGCTGTGTGATCATTTTAAACTGAAAACAGGAGTTCTAACAGATCAATAAATACCCCAAAATGTCATTCATAATTTTATGTAAACTGATTCTCACTGCACATGGATTCTCCTTGTGATGTGAAATAAGTATATATTAGTTTTTTGTCAAGATTTAGAGGTTAAAACATTGTAAATAGTAAAGGTCATGTCTATTTAATTACGTACATCTTTGGACTACGCCCGTTGTAGAAAACAGAATATTCAAAGATGGATTTAAATTTATTAAATGGTTAATGTATTAGTGTTTAACTACGTTACATTAGGTAGTGCCTCTTCTTTTTTAACCTGCATCAGCTGAAATAAAAAGGGGTTGCAAAATAAATCACACTCCAATGCAGTAAAAGGATTCATTGCAGTAGTTCATTGATTTAACTGAACCAGTAAAATGGAGTCCTGTGACCATGCCTGAAGCGGCTTTCGAAGAAAAGACATTGCAAAGGGCATGTGTGAATCACTACTTATGCATCTGTAAACCAACACAAGGTTGCAGAATGTGTGGACTTGTGCATGTCCTCATACTGTGAGTGTGCTTCTCCCTGTATATCATATAACCTCCACTAGTCCGATTTATGAGCTAGAAGAAGGATTACATCTCCACTGGCTGTCAGCAAGCCAGATGGCAGCAGGTGACCATAAGTCAAAGTAAATGCACACACTAAAAAAAAAAAAAAAAAAAAAAGTTTATTACGGTTGTTAATAGTGTGCTGGGTCACATTGGCAAGAATTTAAAGGTGTATTATGCAAAATTAGAAAAACAAACCTCAGAATGTTTAATCAAACACACATAAAGGTGTCACTGAGGCTTGATACATTAATCCATGTTTGCTTCATTAATGGAATTTGCTCCATGATAATTTGAGCCAAGTCAGCTCCGATCATTTAACCTGAATGGCTGTTTTCATCAAGATTGAGTATTTCAGTAAATTTTTTCTTAAAGACTCCAGTCTAAGAGTTGCAATTCGCAACTGACATGTCCTGCATCAAACATATAGATACGTTTCGGATATGTTTTCCCAGTAAACTACCATGGTGTCCATGGTATTGTAAGGTATTACCTGTTGTGTTTATTTTCTAGCGCCTTTGAACAATGCTTACAACTTCTGTCATTTAAATTTGCCATTTTGTATTGCAGATTTTATAAATAAATCTAATATTTGTGTGCATGATATTCCTTTTATAAATATTTTTTCATAAAACATCTTGTTTCTAGGCGTGTTTGAGCACAGAATTTTCTTCATAAAAGGCCTCAGTCACATTACTCTGATAATCAAGCTTTATTTCTGGACATAATTAACACTTCACAGTATAGATTTGAATTCATAATCAGATGATAGCATTATGCACTTGAACCTATAGATAAAGGATTTCCATCACATCTGAACGGTGCTTTATTGGCTACTGTGGAGGCTTTTTGAGTACAGTGAACTCATTGTCATGTTCAACAAACCAGTTTACCATGATTTGAGCTGGGTGCATTTGAGCAGCAGTACTGGTCGGGAAATATTCCCTACCCCATTACAAGAACAGCTTCCTTAAGCGTTAGTAAAATACATAAAGGATCTATACTTTTTTTGTAATTTGCACTGAATTCTGACCCAACAGATTTAATTCGTGTCATTCAAATTTAATAAGCCTTTGTAAATTGTTTCCTCTTTTTCCTGGAAGACAGAAGAAGCACTTGGTCTGAAAAAAACTGTTCAAATATAGTTTGGAATAAATTGGTTGTATTGAGGCATTATTGACTCTGTTATTTCACCTCTATCTTGGAACTCCCTTGATAGTTTCTCTCTTGAGACCGCTTTCTATAAACCCAAGAGATGGTTGCATGTGAATATATCAGGAGATCAGCTACTCCTAAAACACTGAAACGCAAACCATCAACAGCAAGTTGGTCTTATTTAGATTACCAGAAATTACATAAGTCTAACACCTTAAACTATGTGAATAAAAAGCAGTTGCACCAAACAGGAATAGAGCAAATAAGGTTAAAAAGAAGCTTGACTAATCTGTGGGTAATCTTGAGAAAATGTTTACATTGAGCTGAATTTCTATGTTGTGTTTATGAATGGAGTTAGAATTTTCTTAAGTAGAAAATCATAAAATAACTTCTTCTAGTCTTTCAAAGTATGTCTGATCTTCTATAAGAAGGTTATTGAATGTTTTATAAATTACAAGGCCACTTAATTTGTTTCTAATGGTTTCTGTAGAATATTGATAGCAGGATAGGAAGTACCTATTTATTCCACTAGAGGGAGGTATTTGTTCAAGGTTGAACTAAAGTCAGCAGTACTTTACAACCCACTAAAGAGCAGCATGCAACCAAGCCAAATATTTAGGCACATTTGAACAAACCCCAGCTTCCATATTATTTCCTTCTTTAAATAAGAACAACTTTAGCTTTATTAATGCTCCAAATGGTCTTAAATTGTGCCAAAATCTGACTGCAGCGTCCTTACCCTACATTATGTTAATAACTGCCTCCATCCCAAGGAAGCTCCTCATGTCTCTTAGCATTACTGAGAAAAATGATATCAATAAAGCAGGAGCTGTTAATTTAGGCTTGATTTAAATCTCATAAAAGATGTTTGCAGGTTATAATCACGCATCGTGGTCACATAAGTTCCTCTTATTTTCTCTTGCATAACAGAACATTGAAAGTCCTGCTTTAAGTTGTTGAAAATAGATTCATTTCTAAGTTTTCTTTGTGGCAGCATAGCCAAATGAGTTTTCTAGATTGAGCAAGATTAAACAGGCAACAAGTCAGAATCCTCTTTCGAACCTTCAGATGCACTTCGGTTAAATCAATTAATTCATTAACTAAGTAGAGGTCACAGCCAATAGCTAAGCTAAGACAAATTAAATCAATTAGTCAGGCTAATAAGATGAGGAAGGCTTTAATTAGTGAAAGTTTAATCAAAGCTGTATGTCAAGATACAGCTCAGTGAAACTTCCACACAAAGTTCGGCTGGGAGTATTGAACTAAACTTTAGGTATAAATAGTTTAATATAACTAGTTTAATATGCTAAAATGTTACATTTATTAAAAAAAAAGAATGTTTGTTGTACATTTGGATATTTATCAGCCTCTGTAGTTAAGTTTTTATCTGTTAAAAAGATCAGTTTCAGAAATTCTTTAAACCTAGAGTTTGGAAAGGATAAATCTAAGAAAGAAAAATAAGTATATAATTGAACTAATATCATTTAACTACCATTTCTTTTTCCTTGGCTCTCCCTTTATATGTTAACCTAATTGTGAAAAGAACACAGACCTGTTCAAGCACTGTCAACCTTCTGCAGTGCTTTTCTTCTTCTTGCTTTTATCAGTTCTTATGTGTCTCTTGGGTGCACACATCTGTGTCTGCATTTTATAATCCCGTGAGCCATCTGC